CAGTTTCTGTTGGCTTTGTTTCTAGTTGTAGAGTAATTGCCTAGAGAGAGAGCTTAAGACAGCTTGCCCTGTAAGGAGGGAGGGGGGAACCTCTCACACCTAAAATAAGGTACAAGGAAGTAGCAGCAAAATGAGCAGGTGTAACATGTAATGATAGAGGTCAGCTGAGTTAAGGCTTTTTATTTTTATTGTTGGTTTTTGTGTGTACGTCCAAGTCTTGAGAGGTTCTGGTAGTGGTCAGCATGTGGGCTCTCATGGCTCTAAATTTGATAGCAGGGTTTATTCTGAAATATAGAGAGGTTTTCTTACCTACTTGATGTGTGAGGAGATAGGAAATGTGAACAAGCCTCACTCATTTAAATAGCAAAAAAAGTCTGAAGCTAGGATAGCCTTTTTATTTTATTTTATATATATATATAGATATATAATGGCCTTTATTTGTACATGATCAGTCCATCAACTGCAGCAATGTTCCTCCTGATCTACCACAGCAGAACTGAATAGCTGCTCTCTCTTAATTAGGAGGAAGCACCTTTTAATCAGCCAGTGCTGACAGATGTGGTGCCTGAAAAGAGGCACTGAGAAGGAGGCCTGAATGAGTGACTGAAGCATGTTGCAATGCTTTTGGTTTCAAAGCTCCTAAGACGAAGGGTCTCTGTTATTGTTCAGACACTGCTCTTATGTGGCTTCCCAATGGAAAGGCTTGAATTTGTCTTGTATCTCTGTTGCTCAGTGGTGTCATTGCCGGAGTGCTCTGCCTTCAAAGTAAATTGTTTCAAGGCCAGGAAACGTGTGAACAAGTGCATGGGAACCATGTTACAAAGTTTACCCAACGTGCTAGTGGCTACATGAAATAAATATAGCAGATTTGACTTGGACACGTCAAGGCAAACAGATTTAGGTGGGTATATTCTTCCATACCCTTTCCTGAATCACATCTTGGCTGTCCTCTTGCTCTCTGTTATGCGTGTTTTGTGGTACCAGGCACAGTGAGCACTTAATCATTTTACAAGCAGCCAAATACAAATTATGAAGCCAATTATCAAATACCTTCATTTAAAGGATTTCTGCTGCAGCTTGACTCTGTTTATATGCACACAGGCTAGAGTTCCCAGTTAAGAAAGTAATTCAGCATCTACTCATGAGTGTAAATGACACTTCTGCACAAATTTACATGCTGTGCCCCAACTTTGGGTGCAAGTTATTCTCCTATTCTCCTAACTAGGGCATAAGCTAATGGTCCAGGAGATCTTCTCATGGCTGTGCTGCAGATATGTTCTGTGATGTTGGCTAAATTGCTCAATCTGTGCTTTAAATTTAACTGAGAATGATGCATCTTTTTCTCTCTTCTGTATATATTCAGATGCCAAATTCTTTAAACCTAGATTGTATAGAGCTGGACAGCAGCTAACTTTATATATCTGAGTTGGAGAATAATATCCCACTGCAATCAGAGGTGATAGAGAGAGGATCTGCTCTCAGGTTGTTTGAAAAGGCATTGCCTGGGAATCAGTCTCCAGAGGAACCATCATCAACCCACTCTGTGTCTTAATGCAACAAAACCACAGCCTTGCCTGAGATTTCAGGGCATTACTGTTTCACATGGACATTTTCAGAAAGGCACTGATGTTTATGAAAAAAAAGGTTAGTTGTAATAATAATTAGTAGTGTGAGGCATGTCATTTGCCCCAGAGTACTCAGAGGAGTGTAGCACCTGCTCTGGAGATGTCTGAAATGCAGCCAAATCTGGGGTAAAACAAAGCTTGGGTTTAATACTGTGAAGTTGTGTGAGCTTTTAGGATAGCAATTAAGAAGGTTGTCCTATGCCTCCAGATTTGTGCACCAGCCTTTCATACAGAAGAAGGGTAGGTATTCCAGTTATTAGAATATCCTGGCTGCACCAGGCAATTGCTCTTCTGGCCTAGTCTGTTTGGTTTAATTTAGGAGAGAAAGGAATTGACCAGAATTCACTTACAAGAGAAGATGGGAGGGAAAGAAAAAGACAGAAAACAAGACAGAAAAAAAGACCAAGAAGGTACCTCGTGCATTCATGTGGAGATCTCAATGTTCTTATATACTTCTAAATCATACTCCTTTAGCTGCTCTAAATTATGGTTCAGCAAGATATTAAACAGACATAACTTCAAACACAAGCAGAAAAAAAGGACACAAATGGGGCAATTCTAGCTACAATAAACCATGCCTGTCATTCAGAGACCTTGCTCATTCTTGGACTGAAACTGCAGTTAAAATGTAATTCATAAGAATGGCGCTGTCTGATTCAGCAGATGTTTCTCTTTGGCGTTTTACTCCTTGTACAGATTTACAGAACAAGTATGTTTAAAAGAGCATGTTTTTAATTAAGAATTAATCAGTTCTTGCTGGGCAGGTCAGCTGGAGTTAGGAAGTGTCTTTGACAGCCTGGTTTGCCTATAAGTGTTTGTATTGCTGTTGGAAAGATGTGAGAAGGATCAAACAAATAAACAAAAAGAAATTGTCAGTGCCTGTACAGACACCAGGTAAGACAAGCTGATAAAAACATAGGGAAACCCTCTTTTATGTAAGAAAGCCCCAAGGTCAGACTTAGAGAGCTAAGGTTAGTTAGTGTTGGAAGATTGTTGTGCTATTCATATTAGCATTATGTTCCTGCCTGGTTTAGGTCTCAGCCACCCGAGTGGCTTTGTCCTATGTAGCAGTCACTGAGAGAACAGACTGGCTTTATTGAAATGGACACTATCCCTGTCTGCATGTTTTGGCTGAGTACAATGAAAATTGTGTCCTTTGGATATGTCTCTTTCATTAAAGATATTTTTGGTTGAATTTGCTCTGCAGTGCTATCAGGGGAAAAAAAAACACAAAAAAACAAACCCTAATATTAAAACTTATTACCTAGTCAAACTGTCCAGCTTTTTGCAAACCTAGAACAAGGAGCTGAAATCTGCATTATAAGACTTCCAAAATCAATGCATTTAAATAGCATGCTTAACAACAGGAGAGAAACTTCAAGTCCCTCGTTATGAGAACTTTTTTTTCCTGAGAGTATTGTAAGATTGCAGGCCTTCCCCAGCAGAACGTTTATTCCATGATATCTCATGTCCTGGAGTTGCATTAATATTTTGGTGTGAGTGTCTATGTGGTGTTCTAAGGGAGCAGTCAGGTCCATCACTGGATGAGAATTTAGCTTCATTGTGAAATTTTAGCTGTGTGTAGCTTAGTGCTTCTGGCCTGCTGCATGCACCTTTATTTAATTATGATGCTGATGCTAAAGAGTTAACAATTTTTTGGGGGCAAAGTATGCAGCCCTTTGAGACAGAAGAGGGTTTCAGACTGTACAAAAAACTTCTGGATCTTCAGTGACTTCAGGACTAGGAGAGAGGATGGAGATCTCCTCTGTGTGTGTGTGTGTCTGTATACTTCTCTGTATACTTATAGGAGGTACAATAATCACTGATATATCTTCTTCAGATATTGCTATGGATCTCATTCTTCTCTGGGCAACCACTGCCAGTACAGAACACAATGGTGCAAGTCAAGAGCAAGTCACAGCTATATCAGCTGAAGATTTGTTATGAGGAGTTTGACTTCCCAAGTTCCCCATCATCCTTGTCCCCATCCTTCTTTATTAACAGTCAGCAGCATTTGAGAGCTTTTGATTTATTTATAGAACTGGGACAAAGTACACAGGCAACTCTGTTGTTATGACTTAGATGATACACAAGTGATACATAACAGAAGGAAAAATTGCTCAAGCCTTGTCATGGTCATTGTGACCCAATATGAATCTCTCACTATCAAAATTTGAATTACGTTCTTTGCCTGGTCAGGGTGTGCTGCTGTACTGACCCTAAAGAAGGCTCCTCAGAAGAGTGCTTAGAACCTTTTCATCACTATGGACTCTTTCCTCTGGGGTAACTGACCTAGGACTGGAACTTGCATTTTCACTAGGTGGGGGAATGTCTGTATACCGGTATTTCTAGAGCAGATGAACTTTTATCATCAAAACTGCACTTTCTACCACTTAAATAGAGCCACTTCCAGAAGTACAGTTCAATTCACCTTGCATGATATAAATGTGTATTCTCTGGGAGACTGTGGTGTCAGTGATGTTGGAAAAGGATCACAGCTCTTTAGACCTTCTGACAGATGGGATGCAAAAAAACAAAATTAGATGTGGCCAAAAGCGTCAAGCACACAATCCAGTCTGTACGGCTTAATATCTCAGCTGATTCCTGGACTGCATTGTCTTAGCAAGCAAAAATGTGAGATAAATCCCGTTAACTAAGCCTTATAGAGCCTTATAAGCCTTATAGATGTTTATGCAAATATGTGTTGCCTCCTATTTGTGATGGGATATGAACATTCAGAAGGGTGACAGGAGCTCAGCTGATACATGGTATCTCATGCTACAGTGACTTCTGTCAGGAATTCCCTTACTTTGTCTGTGAAGAGACAGTGACAGGAGGATTGGGAATATCTGCAGTCACTGCCTTGATTTCCCTGCTGATTTTCTGTGCAGAGAGATTCCACTGAGAAGTATCTGCTCTCTTCTCTTCCATAAAGTCCTGAATGGGAATTCCCACAAGAATAGGTTTGGGGAGCATACTAGGAAGTCAGCTCTGCTCCAGCTGGCTTCTGTCCAATCCCAGTTTTCTCAGAATTCAGTGAAAAACATGACTGCAGCCCATACGGACTTCAACTAATGCCTGCTGAGAGGTTGCAAATGGCCCTTTGTGGTGGGGATTTCATTGTGGTTCTTCATTATGGATTCTGGAGTATTTAATACCAGGACCTGCTCAGAGCTTAGCTACCAGGTTCACTAAGATACTGACGAACAAGTCAGTGAACAGACATATAACTGCTTTTGTATTCTGTGGAGGGGAGTCCAGGAAAACCTTTTGTTTGTAGACGTGAATGACCAAAAACTATTACTTGCTTTAATAACTTTTCCCTTCCTTCCTTGGAAGCCTAATAGTTTGTAATTTTTCTGCTTGTTCATGCAGGAACTACCTCTTCAGACTTAGTCTACACAACGTTTCTCTTATTCAGGTATGTTCACTTTTTACTCTCTTATTTTATTTGACTTGTTAATGAAAGTTCTGTAGTATTTGGTGTACATTTTCAGAATCCTATATAGTGTAAATTTGCCCAAAGTGGTGGAGCTGAGGGAGAAGACAAAATCAGAACCAAATGCTTATTCCCACTCCAGTGATAATGCTGGGGGAAAGGCTCTGCTACACTTGCCCACTTGGATGGTGCTCTCTGGTTTTGATTCTCAAGTGTTTGGGTGGTAATGGCATCTTAAGGAAGAAAGCATGTAGTGTAACTGATACAGGCTTAAGTGCAACAATCAATAGAAATCCTTGGCTTTCTTTAGAGATGTCCTGCTGGAGAAGGTTTTACTATTCTCATCCTTCCTCATTTTAGCCCTTGTAGGCCTTTGTGAACATGGATTGTTGAGGAGCTGTGTTTTGCTGAATGCATTACTAAAACCATGATAGGACTTGCAAGCATTCAAGAGGCAAAAGGGGTTGAAAATGTGTGTTACCATTGTCTTTACCAAGGTAAAGCAGCTGAAGTTTGAAAGGGCTTGAAAATAATCCAGCACAATTATGACTACTCTCACTGTACTGAATCTGGAATTGAAGGATGCAGCAAAAATTGTTAATGAAAACATCAGCTGTTTATCTTGAAATAAATTAACACTTATGCTCTGGGATACTTACCATCTTCTACAGTTGCTAGATCACCAAAGAGGTATTCAGCATTTTTTCAGACAGACTAAGAGGTCTTGCTCCTGTACCTGACCACACAAAGAAGCCATTAGAGTAGTACTGCCAGCCATTCTGAAGGGCACAAGCCTTCTGCTGTTAGGAAGAGTTACAAGTATAGCTGGAGAGAAGAAAAGATGCTTAATGGTTGTAAAATGCATTGAATCTTCCTTTAAAAGGAAAACTAAGTCCCAAGTTACCAATGACAACAATAAAGAGTTAGAGAAGCTGCTACTCCCATTTGGCAATGCCTTCCCTTTTGCAGAGCCATATTAGCATGGCTGGAAGGTTTCCAATGACACAGGAGAGGGAAGTCTCCATAGTTATGAGAGGTGTCATACCTTCTGCAAAGCCTGTTATCACACTGCCTGACACACTGCCTGACACATCTTGTCAGAGATCCCCTTCCGCAAACCCAATTGTGAATCTCCCTCATGCACTTCTGAAGCCAGGCTTGGCCCTCCTCAGTGCAGTGAGTTTCCTTTTCTGCACTGCAAAACATGGGAAGTCTCCTTCTATGGCACTGGAGGTTGCTGTGGGATCTCCGGTTAACATAATGAGCTTAGTTCGCTCCTGCTTTCTGGGTGTATCCGGTTACTTTGCCAAGACTTTTTGCATGACAAAGAGAGCATGGAATTATGTTGACACACGTGTTGGGAATGATGGAAGTGATTGTTTCCCGACCTAATGGTTGCCTAAGTAGCTGCTTGGCTTGTCTCCATGAAGCTCTTGATGCAGTTTAAAGGCACCACCTTCCCTTCTCTGTGCATCATTTTAAAGGTCAGATCAGAAAGTGAGGCAAGAAATGTAAGGAACTTGCATTTAGTTCTACAGAGGTGAGAATGCAGTTCAAGAAATAATCACAATGTTAATTTGCATTATTTTGTATCTCCTCTTTGCTTGTAAATAAAATACAGTGTGGATCTTGCCAGGCCTGAATCCGGATAGTTTTTCATCTTAAGATTGTATTCTGATTTATTTCTGCTCATGCAACTTCATTGTCATCCTGCCAGTGGTGCTAAAACTACTTCACAGTGCAGGTTTGTGCTGACAAATATCTGCTCCCTTGCATTCGTACTTCCATGAGGTGAGGGCAGAAACATGAGGAGCACGGTCTATGGAGACATCAGGATATGTTGGCTGTGGGACAAAGCCTGGCAGTGAGAGGAATGTACCCCTCTAAGCATGGTTCAATAAAGTATAAAGCTGTTTTTTCTCAAGTGTTCTTGTGCTGTATCCTGAGGCTGCAAGGTTCCTGTGGGAAAGAGGCATGCCACATAGTATAGCTAGGAAGTTACTGTCTTGGAATTGCAATAAACTAAAAGACAAAATTTAGTATTAACTGGGAAGTTATTGGTTAAGAATTATGTAAAAAAGACAGCATTACCCTATATAATTTTAATTTCAGGGGAGTGAAGGAAGAGAGATTGATTTTGGGATGTGTCAGCTCTTGGGCCCCATTATAATAAGGGGTCAATTATTTTCCTTTCTTATCTCTCATCTGCTCTACCATGTGTTGATGTTTCCTCCACACTTAGAATTTTCTGTTGGTTCTGCTGAGGTTGTTTCTCCAAGGCACTAATCCTTCACAGGAGAGCTAGTGAGTGGAGTGGAGCAAAAAGTGACGCAGAACAAGCTCATTTCCTGCTTCACAGAACCAAGTGTCCCAACTTCTCAGAGATTTTTCCTCCTCTCTTTGTTTCCAAACCGTGTTTCAGAAATTCCTTTTGGAACCTGTGAAGCTTTTCACCAAATGAGTTTTAGTTGCATGGGACCTTTGGTGATGGTTAATGCTTTTCTGAAAAACGTCTTCGGCTGATCTTCAATATCCATAAGGAAGTTATGACCCAGATATTTTGTGATTTTATCTACCTCTTTTTCTTGCCAAAACTGAAGCACCTTATTAAAGAATTACTGAAAATCAGCACCTTAGCATGGGGTATCCAAAAGCACCTCTTAATATTGAAAACTTTGGCATGTGGTGTTCAAATTCTTGCGCAGTCAAGAAGCACAGTTTTAAAATGGATACTCTTCCTTAAATCTTTAGCATCTCTTTTAAACAAAATCTCTGTTTCATGTCTGTCTTTAAATGATTGTCTTATATGTACTGTAAACTCTCATTATTATACACTTTATAGAACATTTCTTTTATATTATGTGCACTTGGAGAGCATGCTGTTCAATTTATACATGGATCTGAAATAAGGCTAGCTCCTAATCTGCAGCTTTCATGGTGAAGCCATAGAAAAGCCAGTTTTATACTGGAGTTGGTAATTAATAGAGTAGGTGGAAGGGTCATTTTAAAAACATAAGCCTTTAAGAAAAAAATTTTAAACTTCACAATACTGATTGGGATTTCTTAGCAAGGAATGCTGTTCTGGGGTGTGTATTAAAAGCAGGCTATTTGGCTGGCATTTCATAAATCACAGTACAGTGCTTACCCCCTGCTCACTGTGATTTTACCTGGATTCTTAGTTCTCATTTAAACTGAGTAGGAAATTATTTTTCCAACCTATTTGAGATAAAAAGATTTCCAACCTTTTTGCACTGAGATGACAACAAGCCTCTCTGACATTTTTGTAAAATCTGAAGGAGAATGAGATAGATGTGGTTAATTGGCATGAAAATACTCTGGGTCAAGTTTTTTTCTGAAACATCAAAAAGAGCATTTAAGTGTGCATTTCTGTCATCCCAGACAATTGTCCTTGTTTGTTTGGGGCATCCTTTTCCCCCTTCCCTTCTCCCTTTCTCTTCCTCTTTCCCTTTCCTTTTCATTTTCCTTTCCTCTTTCTTCTTTTCCTTTACTTTTCCCTTTTCTGTGGATCTAAGGTGTCTTTCTGGACTCTCATCTGGTAAGTGTAATAGAAAATGTTAGAACTTCATAAAATATTTTGTTTTCAGTTGTTTGTTTTGATGGAAGATGTCTTCTAAAAAAAGTTTTAAAGCAGCTCTGTGAAGTTTGTGTGCTGGTATGTCAGGCTAATAGTAATTTAATTATTTAAGTATTTAAAATACTTCAGAAGTTTGTACTGTATTTTAGCATATTGTGAAAGAATAAATAAGTGCACCCATTGCAAAACTGTTAGGAAGACATAAGTTATTTCACCTAAGAAAGAAAAAAAAATTGAGATCAAAATATGCTTTATCAAAATATTTTTTTCCTAAAGACAAAAATGGAAGTGTGGATTAAGTGCAGAGAAAGAGTGTGTGAGTTTCCCAGTAGTCATAAATCTGAATTAGGAAGGATTGCCTGTGGAGTTCCACACTGCCCAGTTCCACCTAGGTCTACAATTACAGATCTACTGGTACCCCATTGCAAAACACAAAAATGCTACAGAGCACACAACTTCATTTGCTTCTGAAATTTGGCTCCACATTTCTAAATAAGACCCCCTATATTCACAGGGTCACTTTGCATAGTGATACCCAGTCCCTAGGGCAAAACTTGATGAACTTCTCAGTCCCACTGAGATGTAAGTCTTAAAACCAAGATTAAAGTATACTTTAATCCGAAAACTGAGGCAGTATCAGCTCTTAAATAATGATCTGAACCTTACTGAAATAAATTTCTTTCTGCTGATATTGTTAGGGTTTTTGAATAAGCATTTTTTCAAACCTGAAATAGAGACAAAACATTTCCATAGTGTCCTGTAGCAGATAAACTGCAGCCATCTATCCAGTGCATTTCTGATAAGGATGGTTTTACTCCAGTTTTTCTTCCCACCATCTAAGAAGCAGCAACATCCCTGCTACAGAGATGAAGCTCTTAAACTGCACAGCTGCTTAAACTGCACACTTCCCTCCCTGCTACTCCCTGAAGGGATCTTTAACTGTAGCATAATCACTGGTAAATCAACATCATGTATCAACAAAGTGTAGTTAATAATAATAAAACTTGCCTATCAGTCCTCAGTATGTCACATAGAAACAAATGGAACAGGTTTTGTCTTTAGCACTCTGAATCAAACCAAGCATTAAATGCATTATTTTCTACTTATTTAGGGCTCAGTAGTGCCACACTTATGTCTGCTGATGAGAAACATGCTCTGTAAGTGTATAGAAGTGTGAGGAGAAGTGGCAGAGTTTAACTTGGTTTTTCTCTGTGTAGTTGAATAAAATACGATAAACAAAATCAACAGAGAACAGTGAGTAATATCGTTTACAGCAGAAATTGTCACTCAAGTAATCTTTCCTGGTGAAAATATTTCACTGAGAAATATTAAGAATTCATAATATGTTCATAAAGCCCTGGCACTTATCAGAAAACTTGCAAATGGT